ACATAAGATAAAACCACAACCTTTATCCAAGAATAAGATTTATTGACCTTCTTATATTGAATAATGGAAACTAACTACATACATTGTGCAAAATCGATAACTACATAGTTAAAAGGTTGATAAAATATTGGAGCTAGAGTTTACAGCTATATCTTTCTTGAAAGATACACAGTAACTGTTTGAAGCCAAAGAAATTACTTATTTTAAGAAGTAGAATATATTTTTAGTCCATCTATGGTTTAGAGAAGAAATATGTTTTTAAGCTAGTGGCTTTCTTTTTATTAGGAGCTACCAACAATGTTTTTGTTAAATAATCAAGCGGGGAAGGAGAAAGGGCTTTATAAATAAATTGGGAATCGAGGAGGGAAGTAATATTCATCAACAAATGAATGATGTCAATTTTTTATTAAGTTTCAAAGTATATATAAAAAAAATTGGGATAAAAGAAACAAATTGTCAACACATCAACACACCCACAAGTTTTACATTTCTGTTACTATTCACACATACAGCCGATTCATTCAGTCTGTTTCTAAGGACTTCACTTCATGCAATCTGATGAAGTAGACTCAAGTCTACGAAAGCTTATGCTGCCCACTGTTTACTCTTAGGACGTTATCACACGGGGGCAAATCTGCTGGTTAATCCACACAAATCCCAAACAGAAACTGGATTTGTGCCCTGCGTTTTCACACGACGTCGCACAGAAAGTGGACAGAAACTGGTGTTAACCGAGATCTTTTGAAATTCGGTTGTTTGGAGGAAATGCAAATGCGAAATTAAGGTAATTTTGCATTTACTGTAATGTGAAAAGCAAATGCGTATTTGGGAGCATTTCCCTGCTTTTCCCATTGTTCCAGCGAGTATTCCTCTATCTGCGCATGTGCAAGAAGCTCATTTTTAGTACATTTATGGGCTTTTCTCACTTGTGTGTGAACGTTAAATGCGCTTACTGTAATTTCGCAATTAAGGTAATTACGTGTGAAAGCCATTTGCGGAATCAAGGTTTATTTTCCGTTTATTTTCGGAATGCCTCATTTCCATTTTATTATTGCTTTCTGGCCCACGTGTGATAACGTCCTTTAGTTAAGTCTCAAGAGTTACTACAGGATCCCTTTGCATACTGATCCAGACTAACAGGGCTATTCCTAATGTCTGATTTATGCCCATTTATCCTCTGGTCTGTTTGCAGAGTGCAAAAGGGCATTATTGACAGAGGAGGGCATGTATCACATTAGAGGATGGGCAAGTGGAAGCACCTCAAAGGTTTTGGGTAATGTGATTAGGTCCTGTGATGACTTTGTCTACCAACAGCATCATTAAAACTGAATTTGTCAACTCATCACCATGCCCACAGGTTCTGCATTTCTGTTACTATTCACACACCATTACATCTGTTCATTCATGGGCATAAATATCTGTCTATCAGTACTTAATTTCATGCATCTGATGAAAGAGACTTAAGTCTACGAAACTTCTTCCTCTCAGAGAGCATCTACACTGTAGAAATATTGCAGAACTCAAAAGACATAGCCGTGTTAGTCTGCAGAATCAGTAGGTAGAGATCTTGTAGCACCTTTGAGACTGACTGAAAGAAAGAAGTTGGCTTTCATAGACTTATGGTAAGTCTACTTCCTAAAGTCCAAATGCATCTGAGGAAGTCGACTCAAGTCTATGAAAGCTCATGCTGCCAACTTCTTTCTTTCAGTCAGTCAGTCTCAAAGGTGCTACAAGATCTCTACCTACTGATTCCTCAAACCAACATGGCTATATCTTTGAATTTTACATCCTTATTTCTTCTGAGGAAGTAGACAAGTCTATGAAAGCTCATGCTGCCAACTCCTTTCTTTCAGTCAGTCTCAAAGGTGCTCCAAGACCTCTCTACGGAAATATTGCACTTTGACACCACTTTAAGTGTTTTGGCTCCATCCTATCGAATCCAGGGATTTGTAGTTTTACACAGTCTTTACCCTTCTTTGCCAAAGAGTGCTGGTGTCTCACAAAACTACAAATCCCAGGAGTCTGTAGGATGGAGCCGTGGCAGTTAAAATGGTGTCAAATTGCATGATGTCTACAGTGTAGATACACCTCTAATTGGTCTACAGCAGGGGCTGGCAAACTACGGCCCACGGGCCAGTTCCGGCCCAGGTCCCGGTACTTACCAGCCCAGGCGGACCCCTGCTG